TAAATCGGATTACAGAAAAATCGATCAGGTTTTTTCAACTATTTCTTCAAATGAGACGAAATCGTTAACTGTCTCTTTAATTTAGAAATGGTTTTGAGTTCAAGTCAATTCAAATGCACTTTTTCAGTTCAAATCACATTTAAGGAGTTATCTTTTAACTTTGGCATTGAAGTTAATTTAGCAAGCAGGAGACTGCAATGTAAGGTTAGTCCAAAGAGTATGGATACTGTTGAAAAGCTCTCTTTACATCTGAAACATTCAGTCTACTTGGTCAGTACTGTGGAGGTCGGATGAACGGCCCTGATGAAGGGGATTGTTTCGCCTGAGCCCGAAAAAAAGAAAGGAACATTCCTACCGATACTATATGTCCACCCCCTTAGGTGCTCTCATGCAGTGGAAAAGATAGAGCCAACGCACGTACTCAGTTCTGGCACTGCTTTCCCTTGATACTAAAATTTCGTGTCCGTATTAGCGGGCTGCCCGGCCAAAAATAAAGGAAGGGGATTGTTTCGCCCAAGCTCGGAAAAAAGCAAGGAATATTGCTGCCGATACTATATGTCCACTCCCTTAGGTGCTCTCATGCAGTGGAAAAGATAAAGGCAACGCTCGTTCTTGTGGCACTGCTTTCCCTTGATACCACAATTTCGTGTCCGTATTAGCGGGCTGCCCGGCCAAAAATCACTTCGATATGTACTCGTGTAGCATATTTTTCGCTAACCAGTTGCAGTGTACATTTCGAATTCTCATACAACCCTTAATCTAGGGTATTTCAATAGATATGCAAAGGAAAAGTGCTATTTGAGTTACATTCTGAGCAGTAAAAATGGAAAAAAAAAGGAAATAGGAGCTTCTAGTTGGCTTCCTCATTATTTTCTCTTTTGTATTTTGGGTATTCACGGGTATCTAACTCTTTCACAAGAAATGGTAAGAACTGACTGCGGAAAGTATGGGATTTATCATGCATTCTGAACTTTACCACCACCAATCGAATACAGAGATGTAAATCACTCTGTAGATTGTGAGGTGTTTATTTTTGTGCTAAAGTCACAATTTTTCAAAAGTAATGTCACAATTTCATAGTGTCTAATTATGATGACCAATTGACTTG